GAGTCAGCGCTCACCCGGCAGGGCTGCCGTCGTTACAAGTGACCGAACTGTTGAGCAGCAAGTGGAGCCTCAGCTCCTGGTGCAGATTTTGCGCCGAGCAAGGGTACAGCGACTGCGCCAGACTTTTGATCTGAGCCATGAAACTGTCCATGTTGCCCTCGACGGCGGTAAAGTCCAATGGGAAGCTTTCCACCGGTTGCCCAGCCGCCTCGCTCCGCTCGCGGGGTGCCGCCGCCGGCGGTTGCTGCTGCTGCTGGCCACGCCGCCTCCAGCTTTTCCTGCCCTCCCCGCCGGGGCCCCAGTGGAGCAGCCCCAAGAGCAGCAGCATCTGCACGGTCCCTCTGCCCATCGCGACGCGGCGGAGCCACCTGCTGGGAAGGAGGGAGAGGAAGCCTGTGAGCTTGGCGGGCAGGCGGGCAGGGCTCTGTCTGTCGCCGCGGGCTTCGGCCACCACCGGTTGCGCGCTCTGCCCCTGGCGGCGAGCGGCGCTTCGCGGGCTCTCGGCTGGGGGCTCCGGCCTGTGCCTGCTCCGTGCCTCGCCTTGCCCAGGGTCTCGCCGCTCTGGCCCCGACGAGCCGCGAGGGAGGGAAGCCGCAGTCGGCGTGGCCAGCGGGAGCCGCCGGTGCCTGGTGCCCGAGCTGTCCGGGCTCTGCGGCGGGGCTCGAGGGTGCTCGGCTTTTCTTGGCGCAGGGACTCGCCTTCTCGTCCCAAACCACAAACATGACAAGAGGGGCACGGAGTGCACGGGGAGCCCGCTGGGGGCACTGCCATCCCAGGATCCACGTGGGGTGGCAGCAGCCAGCCAGTAACTGCCCTGCCCTCTTCCCCCCTTGAGGAGAAGGGGAGTGGAAGAGGGAGAGTAAAAGAAGAAGGGGGAGAGGCTTTACTTTCTTAGCCCAGAGGTGTTGCTGGTTTGGTCAGCCTTTCTTTCTTTCTGCATTACTTAACTGCACAAGTTGACACAGAAGGGGAAACCACCCAGGGGATGAATTAAGATTGGAGTGAGGGAGATTGGGGTGGGGCACTGGAAATTCCATAGGGGGTGCCACCCCATATGCCCCACCACTGGCTACGGCCCTGGAGTCAGAGTCAAAAAGACTCTGGCTCTGGTTGAGGCTAAACAAATGTCCTTTGGGCCAGGGACCACCAGCAGATGTTGGTCTATAGATCATAAAGCTCTTCAATGCACGTATTGGGAGAGACGGTTTTGCAGATACCCCCTAGTCCAGAGTCCCCCTTCCCCTCTCGAGGTTCCCCCAACCACGTGCTGCGCCCCTTTGACTTTCACGTGCTGAGTGTGAATGAAAGACAACCTAAACTGGCTTGAGAAAGGTTTGTGAGGAAGGAATGTAGAACGTTTGTAAAGAGCCGTGACCCAAAAGGAGGGTTTGCGGATCGGGGCCCTCCCCGTTCCTGCAGCTTTCACTAGTCTCCAGCCTAAGAAGATGTTAAGTCGTGCACTTAACAAAGAGTCGGAGAGTGATTCAGCAAGAATGCGGTTTATTCTTCAGCTCAGTTACTTCTCCGGTACGGTACAACAATTGCCAGCCAGAACCCATTCAAATAAATACACTGGCTTGTCGATATTTAAACACTCCCGGCTATTGTAGCCACACCCACAGTACAATAAGGCAACCTATGAGGTTGAAGCAATAAGGACCAATCAGAAGCGCTCCCGCTTTGCAATGTGATTGGTTAACATATTCTGGGCTAGGGCTCCTATTGGTTACATTAGGATCCTAGCCCAGGGCGAAGCTTAACATGGCATCTCAATGGCACAGTTCACATAGCAGTTCTATACATACTTCAATACATAACAAATCCCTCCCCCCTAAGCAAAAACACTATGTACAATCATAATCGCTTAGGTACAATGGCGCTCTGCGCGATCTCTGAGACCTGCGTAGCTGTACAGGTTCAGGGCACCTTTCATTCTGGGGAGTATTGTACGACTCTGGGACCTCAGAGTCAGGAGCACTTCCACCACTAGCAATGGGTCTTTGAGCAGGGGTCTGCCCTGACTCGCCGACAGTACCGGGGCCCTCGGGCACATCGGCACTTACCTCAGGGAGAGGTTGTGGAAGGTCCTCAGGATCAGGTAGCTCAGTTGGCTGCGAGGTGGGGCGGCCAGTCGCCCACCGCTGCCTCAACTGGTCAGTGTGTCGCCTCCACTTGCGCCCGTCCGCAAGCTGGACAACGTACATGCGCGAACCTACTACCTCGGTAACCGTGGCTGGAAGCCACGAATGTCCCCCTGCGTAGTTCTTTGCAAAGACAGTATCTCCGCATTCGTATGTGCGGACCTTAGTGGAAACACTCTGTTGCAGGGGCCTCAAGTCGTTGAGGTCTGGATGCAAGCGATCCAGCAAAGACGCTAGGCGTCGCCCCATTAGCAACTCGGCCGGGCTGCGGCCTGTAGCCGAACATGGAGTTACGTGCTGGCGCAGGAGAAACGACGCCAGTTTCACTCCCCAGTCCCCGGATG